GGAGGAGGCCGGGCCTCCGGAGGGGAGTGTCCTGCGGGGCCAGGCGGTGCTGGCGAAAGGGGATCCCCGGGAGGAGGGGCCGCCGGGGGCCTGGGAGCGGTCACTGCGCCTGCCGGGTGGCGGCAGTGGCGCCTGCTGGAGTAGTACTTCGAGGTCTTGGGGGCTGTCCAGGGCAAGCTCCGCGGACGGTCCTGGAGCGCAGAAGAGTCAGGCACGTGTAGGACCGGACCGGCTTGGGATCTGGGAAGAGCCGATGTCTGTCGGCTCAGGAGAGCTACAAACGACTCCCTGCAGGGGTCCTAGGAATTGTAATTTGGGAAGTTCACGTTGGCCATGGCTGGACCCCTACCTGCTCTTCCCCAGGGTTGGGGACAGCTTGGCTGTCTTGCTCTGTGAGTCTCAAGCTGGAGAAAACAGCGCTAAAAAGTCCCAAGATATTAAAAAAAAGTGTTTGAGCACCTGAAACCTCCTCCTCTGTGCTCAAACTATGGTTTCAGGGTGCATTTTGAGGGTGCTTCAGCAACCAATCTGAAAAGACATCCTTGTGCACAGAAAGGATTCACTGACCTGCCACCTCTAGCCCGGAGCACAGAACAGCTGATAATGGCCACGACCCTAAGGCACCAATACTACTTGGGTTTTCAAAGTCTGGTTGCAGCACTTAGCCAAACAACCCTTCTGTATCTTTTTATTCCACCCTCCTCCCCCACCGTATCAAATTTACTCCTATCCCACTTTTCCGCTCCTTTCTGCAACACCTCTGTCCGCCAGTGGCGGGAACAACACAGACCCTAGCCGTCCGTCAATTCTGGGCCTCTTTCCTCCATCACCAATATTCACTCCCATTGGCTTTCTTTGTAATGTCTCTCCACTTGCCCTGTTGTTTCCAGGCCCACTGCCAGCTCCCCGGTTCTTGCTGGGGCTTGATGGCTTCAGTGGCCTGCCCACTGGTGCACTGCTCTTGTATTTATTTGTACGGTACTTACAGGCCAACGATTCTAGGCAGCGGCTCCAACAGGCAGGCCACTTCCTGGTCTAGAAATTCTGAAGTACTTTGCTAGCTAAAGGGTGAATTTCTTTTAAAAGCCTGTTCACCCCAAAACAGGTCAACCCTCCCACCCCCACCATTCAC